AAGCTAGTTAGGATCGAAAACTTAATTCATTTAAAGCGAATACAAATTCGAAATCCAAAACTGCGTTTCTTACAAACACCGCTCCACAAGATATTCTGGGAATTTGAAACTGCTGTCGCGGCGTTGGCATTCTAGTACTGCGATCAGACAACATCTGAAGGATTCCAGCACAAGACGTACGATATCTTCGAATTTGCAAACACGACAATTTGCGAATAATTACACGAAACTACTCATAATCTTTTAAATGTACATTTATTTAAAGACCTAATTTTAGGGATACATTTCATAAACTAAAAAAATATTTATTATTTATATTGTACTTTTGGGATGTTATTGTTTAGGAATTTTTGAAACAGAGTTCTCCGAAAATGGGGCATGCGCCATCCTTACGATTATGTACATTACTAATACAATACTGTGTAAAGCATCACCAAAAATCAATATATCCGTTTCAATTTCGCAGAAATTCGTTTTCGGTCAGATTGATGTGGAAATATCAATTTTGAAGAAACTTGTCTCAGCGATTTAAGATCTAGTTTTGCACATAGACCGACAGACAGATATGCTTTGCCTTCAGCCAATTCTTCAGAACAAGGAACCATTGCTTGGGGAAAAACATTTTCCCGAGAGTATGAAAAAAGCAAAAACATGTACTCTTCTTAAAATGTAGTTCGAACCAATATCTTGTAGACCAATCTGCTTAATAGACACGATGAGAAATGTATTCGAGGGCCCAATACTAGAAAGATTTCAGACATGGCTAGAGGAACCACGTAGCCTGTCCGAGATGCCATTAGGTTTTTTAAAAACTAGATGGTCAGTCGACACCTTCAAGCAGTCGTAAGGTAGAAACGGTATTAGTAGAAAAGGTCAGATAAGCCAAAGGCGAAGGAAAAAAAAGAACTCTTCATAACGTTCGATATCACAAAACTCTTTAACTCTGTCAAATGGGAGGAAATTATCACGTTTCTGACAGAGAAAAACATCCCGGAGTATCTCATTAATTAGAAGTTACTTAAGTTCCGAAAAACTATTTACAAAAGCGAAGGAGAACGTTCAGAGGTCGAAATGGCCTGCTATGTCCCACAAGGTTCCAAACTTGTCCCTTTCTTGTGATATATTATGTATTACAGTTTTCTTGGCATAAAACTCCGGCAAAATGTCTCAACAGCGAGTTTCGCAGAGGATGCGATAATACTGGCAACAGTGGAAACATCTTTCCTACTAGTAGTAATCATCAACAACACCCTGAGAAGAGTGACGCGGTGTCCCGACGACAAGAAGTTTTTTGAGTGTGATGCACTCAAAAATGCTTCATGCGGCATCTATCTGGACAGAAGCCCTCCAAAACAATAACTTGAGAAGGAAAATTCAGACTGTCCAGAAGAAAGACCTACGCATAACATCGGCCTATAGAACTGTACCCGGAAGTTCTGTTCTTGTGCTTGCAAACGTTCCACCCATTGACCTACTTGCTAGAGCAAGTACTAAAGTTTCTAGAGAAAGAGTTTGTTGAGGAAGGAAATAAGTTTACGACTATTCACATGAGCAAAAGGGCAATGGACATCGAACGCACTAAGATCGGGAAATCGCAATTAAAGAAGCTATAGTGATGCACCGCTGGCAGACGCGCTGAGACAGAGATGAGACCGGCTGATGGACTCATTATAAACATATCCAAGCTCATCCTAAATATATCCAAATGAACAAGTTGTAATCATAGGTCAATGACATACCATTCAACGCAAGTGTTCACATGGCATGAATGTTTTAAAGCATTCTTGAAGAGATTCAGGAAGACGGAAGATGTATGCTTCTAATGAAGATATGAACACTCCAAGGCATCACATGATATGGGAGGATGGGTGCAATATCACACCATAAAATACAGTGACATGAATGATATGTAAGGAGAAGTGAACAGCAATAGAGAGATATCACATCCACTCTCAAGAAGAAGAAGAAGAAGAGGAGGAAGAAGAAGAAGAAGAAGAAGAAGAAGAAGGAAGACGAAAGGAAGCAGTCAAAGCCGAACTTAAATAGTACCTCAAAGTTCTTTATCAGCCACAACCCCGAATAATTGCATTTCCAGGGTGAACAACGCAAAATACGAATAAAACGAAAACGTACATAAAGAGTTTGCGGTTTTAGTGAGTAAAAATCTCACACTTCTGAGCAGTGCGGGCTCCGCAGCGTCTTGTTTAAGATTTCCGGTTCCTCTCGTTCCTCTTTAAAAGGAATCCACAAAACGTGGATTTTGAGTACAAACCGTGTTCCAGAAAGTTATTTACTTTATATGGAGACGATATTTATCCACTTTTTTGTTAACGGGGACCCTCAACCTGAGTTTTTCTGACTAAATATCACAGTTTTTTGCGCAGCATTAAAATACTTCCTCTAAGTAGTATACAACAAAATACAAATATATTTCAATTTTTTTTAACTTAACTGAATATATCTAAAAATACTAATGATAAAAAAGAAATAAGTCTATGCAGTTAATAGCTCCATTCATTCATGTACTTTCATAAAAACCACATTGCAATATCTTTAACCGAACAATAATTGCAAGAGCTGCTTAGGTTACGTGACTGATTTGTATGTAAATATTATTAACTTATACTATTTAAAAAAAACTAATATTACTTGCAGTATCACAAAAAAGTATGTGTTGAGAGAGGCTTATTATAGTCCGGTGAACTGTGTTAATGTATCCGGCCAGTACTTTAAGTAGAAAAATCCGAAGGTTCATTTGAGAAAAAGGCGACCGTATCGTGGAGGTCCAAAAGAATTTTAATAAGGCACCAAATTGTATTTTCATGTTAATTTTGAAGTATTTAATTTCCATCCTCATACCTCATTTTTTCGGAATATGTGCTTTAGAAGAATATTGTTTTAATTAATTATTATCAAACTTTTGACTTGTTTGAAATGCTGGTTTACTATTGACCATAATGGTTTAGATTTAGACATCTGTCTCATGCCCATATTGATAGCTAATTCATAACTTTTCCTCTACGAAGGCATATCCAAGTTTATTACGAGGGTGATTCAAAAGAAAAAGTAAATTCACAAAGTTTCACAAACTAAACACTCAAAGCCGTTTAAACTACCGCGAAGGAAAGATACATACCTTTATGATGGTATTGATGGCAGTTGTTGACATATCCCAACATACGGCATGATAGAAATATATGCAACGGTCCGTAGAAACAAAGAGGTAGCGCATTTAAGTCCATATATTGAAGATGTAAAGAGAGTAGTGTGTATCTCTCTCTCTCTCTCTCTCTCTCTCTCTC